TTTCTTAATTTATATAAAATCATCCATACATAAAGATATACGATAAGATTTTTTTTTAGATTTTTAAAGAACAGAGTGGAGGTGTCGCTTGTCTCGCCCAACAATCCTTTCTTGGCTTGGAGTTTCTTATCGTACCACTGTAGATCATTTTTGGAATCGTACGTTTGGAACAACAACTTAAAAATTTATACACAAATACCTCAAAAGTGAATGAGTCTTTTTTTCCTTGAATTAAATTAAAATAAAGTAGCGTCGATTTAAAATTTGTGATGCCCTACATTGCTTGCGGTGCAAGAGCACATTAAGATTGTGAGCATCTTTGCAATACCCAGAGGAATTTGAGATAGACCCACCGTTTGATTACACCGATCAATTGAATCGATCAAATGTTGAACGTCTCCAGCCGCTTCTCTAGGCACATTGCTTAATGCGAGTAATTTACCTATGTCGAACTTAAGCTACCTCTTAACCTTAAAATGTCACGATGAGTCGAAAATGAATTGTTGTTAACTATTATCAGTTGCCAAGCTTATGCATGTTTCCGATGGCTCAGAGGTTCATTCGCAATTTGGTCCTTTTTCTTTTTTTTTTTTCTTTCTTATTTGTTTTATTGTACTTTTACTAAGTTTTAATATTAATTAATTTAAGATTTACTTTAAAAGTCAATTGAACTCGACTGTCAAAATTTTTAGTTAAATTTCTTGCATAAGTGGAATAAATAAATAAATAAAATCTGAATCGATCAAAGCTTGCCTACTTCTCTGTTCGTCTGTGTATCGTGCTTTGTTGTGTTTAACCTAGAGGCCGCAATTTTTGAGATATCTTCATGAAATTTCAACGTGTTTTGTCCCAAGGCCGAACGCTATTAAAAATGATTCGGATCAGGCAACTGTTTCGACCACTTCTCATAGAATGCTTCACTTTGAAAAGTTGCGACATGAATAACTATATTCAGTGAAGTAATGTAAGTTGTTTAAGGCTGGTGTTTTTACTTGTTTTAAACAAAATTTTGTTAAGTCAAATTGTCAATTTTATAGAAGAAAATCCCTTAACTGTCATTAGAGAATTTCATTTTGGAAGTACAAGGGAATTTTCAAAGTTTTCGAATGAAATATCAAGGAGCCGGCAGTACAATAAGCTTGAGGAACATGATTTCTCTGTTGCGATACCTGCCCTGTATAATATATATTTGTATTTATTGTAGTTAAGCACTTGTTGGGAGTAATGAAACTGTGCTTAAGATCTTTTTCTTCAAAAAGCTGCTTTTGAAATTATACAGTGGACTCGAAGTACGTCGTATATTCGAAAATCCACTTTTAGGGGCATTCAAAATACTGGTTTGGCCATAGATACTGTATTTTTTCAATGCTTGAGTAAATTGTTAGGCAGAAGATCATTGTAAATTCCTCAGAAAAACATTTTTTTTTCTATTGACTTAACAGATGTTAAGAACCTTCTAGAACATGAGGAAGTAAGTCCATTAGGTAAATGAAACTTTTTGCCTAGGCGCTCCGAAAAGTTAAACTACGTTAAACGACTCTATGCTATGTAATTTCTCTAATACAGTAACGGATGTGTTTAGGAAGAGTTTACATTCATTTATAATAAGATCTCATTATCATAGAAAAATAGATAAGAAAGTAATATTCTAAGGGGCCCGAATCTCGCATACCCACCACCATGTTTTTCGCATTCTACTCTCCAAGTTATTTTATTTGATACCCATATCGCTAGCTGAGGGCGATTCGAAAGAATTGAGCCCTTCTAGCAAGGCATTGGAGGTGTGTGTGTGTAAAGATTTGGATGTTAGTTATGAATTCAGCTGATTTCAGCTGCAAACTAGTGCTTAGTCTTTTTTGGGATGACAGTGATGGCTATAGAAGATTCGTTAACAGTCGAATATGATTTTCTTACTTGTTCGCATTACAATTTGCTGTTTTCATGAACCAATTACCTTGTGTTAGTATAGAATTTATATCGGAAAGTTTGGTTGGTTACATACTTTTGCTTCGGAATACTCCAGGACAAGGAAAACCAATCGCTATTGCTAAGTAGGACAACGAATCTCATAATTTCAGCGAGCGCGAAAACAGAGCCAGAGACTTTTGAAACAAGTTATAAAAAGTGAACTGAGTTGTGAGGTCAAAACAGCGCCTAAACGACTTCTTACTTAAAAATAGAAAGTTAAAGTGTTCGCATTTTTGCAAACTTCGTTCACTTTGATGCACGACTAGAGCGTAGCTTAACTATCATATATATATCTGCTATCTATTTAATCATCTGCCATAACTGCTTTTTGATTGCAAAATTCTTTCCAAAGCCAAGTAAAAAATTTTCCTTTTCATGAATTTGTAAAATACTCAACAGAATGTCTAAGGACTGAATTGGGCGCAACATCAATGCCTAAACCATTTATTTAATTAAGATTACATTCAAAAAAAATTTCAAAACGGTTATTAAGAACACGAAGTAGCGATAAGGTCGGAACATTTACAAATCGTAATAAGTTGAAACATTATAACCAGGCAAGGCCGATCTTTAAATATCCCTCACCACTTTGCCTAATATATTTATTCATGTATTTTCTTGATAATACACTAGCACTTACACTTTGCTTCCACGTAAAGGCGTACTGTCTACGAAAGTCATCGTATATGGGAGCGCTCCCTAAACCTGAACTGATGTGGTCCAAATTTAGCAAATGAATTTTTTTTGTTTTTAAGATTTCATTTTAGATTTTCTTGTGTATAAATGTTTACATTTCACGAGTGAATGAATATGTAGAGTGCTGTCAACAAAATTGACCGATATGATCCAAATACGTAACCGTTCATTTTCCGATTTGTATCATAACTTATTAAATATTCGAACTTTTCGACCTATATAAATGCATGTTGTTGTTGATAACGCCAAGATAGGTGTGTGTTTGAAACTGGCACTATTTGTTACAAATATGATGCAGTTAAGTTTTATGTGAATTTTTTATTCTCAGCCATCAGCTACTTGGCCACATGCAGGCCTAGTTATCGTAAGAAACGTTTTGTTGAGATGGGTTTAAAAAAATTTCTTCATTCGGATACTGAAATGTTATTGCTTAGCGATTTGTATTGAGAAATTTTGAGAGCTGTATTTTCATTTTATGTAACGGTTTTTCAAAACAAGGCATTTTATTCAAATCGCATCCCTCCTAACTCAGCAATCTCGAACTATGGTTGAACAAAGAAAAAAAGAAAAAAGAATACATTGGCAGACATCATGCGGACAGTCAAAAAGTTGGGCAGACGAATTTAGGCAGATAGATAATAAAACGTGGGTATATCTTAAGCCCTTCCTTACTCGCATATGTCCGCACTGGCTTAATATACGCTACCTACTGCAACTGTTGTAGAGTATAAACACCGTATCTATAGATATATATGTATATTGTGCGTAGTTTGACAAAATTTATTACAAACGAAATTTATTTATTGCATCACTAACTTCTCTGATGAAACCCGATTCGATTCGGTTCGTATCATTTATCGCATTGATCCGCAATTGTTCGCGCCGTCAAGTAAGTGATTCAGTTATTGGATATTATACAAACACAACAACTGGGGAACCAAAATGTGTCGGTGTACAAGTTTTGACCATTCCCCTGCAAAGCAATTAACCGTTTCTGTACAAACTTCTGTTCACAACGTGAATTATAATTATTTGGTAATTGACAGAGATTAGAGCAAGTGTTCGATCTAAAGGAAAAGAGTAGAGATATATGTTTATAGCTGCCAAGGCATATATGCCGCAAACGTCACGCATATCGAATACATACGCGCACAATTCTGCTTTGACCATTTGACGTGCTGTACTGGCTTCGTTAACTACAAACATCCAATTACCTTAAATGATCCGAAAAAAAAAAGTAAAATAAAAATAAATAAATCAATAAAATTGCTATGTGTTTTAAACTCCGACGTGCTTATAAATGAACAGTGAGCAAACTGGATACCTTTGCTATTGAGAGCTGCTTGGGGAGTTATAAATCGCGATGTCGTCTGACATAGCGAGGTTTGTCCCGGACTCTGACGTTTCACACGCGTTTGAGTGCTTCTATCTACACCGATAATGTCTAAGAAATCCGTATTTAAAGAGACATCACGGGCCAACTTGTAAGAATTGGTTTCCTTAAGATTATCAATAATTAAATGGGAATCAACTTTGATTTCCGTCGGGTAAGTTTTACTTAAATCTCGAACAATTCGTTTCAGCCATGTAGCACGATTATTAGGCGTCGTCTTGCCATTATTATCAAAGGCAGCCACTTGATTTTTTTTAATACTCACTCTTTGACCGGCAGATGTATATAGGAGGTAACTAAAGATCATATGCAATTTTTTCAAATGCATTTAACTTAAATTTGGATATCGTTTAATATCGTTTAATGATTCGCTTACGTTGGTCCCTCCGTTGTTGTTGTTGATGTCCTTGGCAAAGGAGATGGATCGTCATTATAATTCCTCATATTATCTCCGCTGCCGAAGGGCGACATTTCGTAATTATATCCGTTAAATGTTTGTCCATTGCCGTTAGGATTTCGTTGAGAGAAAATATAAGCTGGATCGTAAAAGACAGGCGTATTATGCCACGCTACTGCCGCGAAGTCATCCCACGTTTCGTCAACAAGTAAATTTTTTGCTTCGTAACCCCATTTTTGTACGAGATGTTTAATTAAAAGTCTGAGGTGAAAAATAAAAATTAACGACGAAATTGGTAACCGCAACTACATGAACGCATACATAATAAACGAAAAATAAAAACAAGCGTAAATATGCTTATACCGGTCAAACCTTTGATTTCATGAAACGCCATCCATCACCATATAGATAATAAAAAAAAAAAAAAAATCCAACCGTAATAAAATTGTAAACCATTCGTGTCACGTGTAAGTTGGATTTACGTTTTAGTGTTTCTTTACACAAACGCATACACATACACATATGATAATATGGGTATGGGTATGGATGAATATGTGAACGTTTCTTTGTAAGTTTTTTTTTT